TTTAGGGTTTGGGGTTTGGGGTTGGTGCCTGCGCAAAATAGGCTGCGAAGGTGTTGAGGTAAGTTGCTCCTGATCTGGAGAGGCGCCGTATCCCTGGGACCAGGCAGAGGCCGTGCCGGAAGCTTGACAGCAAGAGACCCATGACATAATGGCTTGAATAATTAGAATGGGATTCGGGGGTAAATTCTACTATAACTATAATAAGGAACCCCCCAAACCCTATTCTAATTATTAAGGCCCCGACATTCGCGCACAGGTGATGTTCCAGGTAGAAGCAGCTGGATTCGGAACTTAGAAGATAATACAGGGGGCCGAAATAATTACCAATATTAGTCTTAGGGTCCCTTATCATAAGTATAGTATGATACACCCCCAAATCCTATTCCAACTAAAAAGACCCCTACACTATACCGAAGCAGATGAAGTGCGGCCTGATGTTGGCTTGGGCCAGCACTCTACCTGATGATGTGAATCGGAAGGCGCCCTGATGTCTGCATACCGGCCTGTTGCAAGCAGTGCTTGAACTTCTAAGTACCTTCAACTGATGCTACTGGCCTCGCCGCTGGCACTAAGTCAAGCGAACCTTGGGCTCCATAGCACTCTGATTCCTGCCCAGATCAAGCCCACAGGTGAAGCCCAGTCGCGCGCATATGAGTGCTGTGCGTCGTCATGCTGCACGCTCAGAAGCCTCAGAACAGATGGTGCGAGAGCTCATCATGAATCAAACTCATCAAATCCGCGAGCAGCAACCCAGGCTACTTTCAACCCTAAACCCTAAACCCCTAAACTCCTAAACCCCTAAACCCTAAACCCCTAAACCCCTAAACTCCTAAACCCCTGAGCCCTAAACCCCGAAACCCGAACTTGTCCCAAGGACTGCCTGGCGCTGCTGCGCACTCGACCTGAAGACCTTTACTTGGCGGACACCCCGAGGTGCCATGCCTGGCGGGGTTTAGGGTTTAGGGTTTTAGGGAGAAAGTGCTGCAGAAGTCGTAACGGTGTGGTGACCTAGAGACTCCAAAGCCCCTTAGTTCAGGAATATATATATATATATATGTTAGGGTTTAGGGGTTTAGGGATCATTTTTGAGATGATATCATCATTTAAGGTATATTCCTTACTTCAGGGGTTTTGGAGTCTCTTGGGACTTGGTGCATCTTGCAGAGAGACCGGCGCAACCTACTTTGCACTGATTCCCCGAAGCCCTGAACCGCAAAATGCCTAAACCCTAAACCCTAAACCCTAAACCCTAAACCCTTAAACACCAAAACC